CTAACTTTGGTGTTAAAGTAAAACAACCATTCAAGTCAACACCATTTGAAAATTGCAATTAGTGCCTTGTAATCACTTTTAACAATTTATTATGTCTTGTATAAATCAAGAATTATTGTAACTCTATACAATAAACTACTGTATAAATATGTTAATATGACCTTTCTTTGTATGCAGTGGCAGTTTCCATCTCCCTGCAGTAATTTCACTACTTCCGAAGTCTTTTAATTTATACCCATGCAGTTTCATGGACATTATTATTTTGATCTGAAGTGAAGAATTAAACAATCAAACCTGTGTTTGATTGATGCTATTGATCATTTCTCTTAGTCATTATTCATCTGTTGATGGTACTGATTTATGTAATGGTACCATGAGTGACAAAATCCTTCTCACAAGTAGCAGTCATTTGTGTGTATGTCCAGAGAACAAATGTTATCATTACTCAGGTATGAAAAATGTTACAGATAAAACCAATTTTCACTTTGTCCACAATAAATATCAATAAAATTAACTGAATATTAATCAGAAGCGAGAATAATATCTGATTTCCCAGATCATTTCAACACAGGGAAACTAATGGCTAAAAGTTGGTTTGCTGTAAATTTCAGATGCAGGGATCATGATTCATGATCTGTGTACATTAGTATCATCAGAGGTAAGCAGCACAAAAATGTGGTACTCCCACCTCATTACTATTATTGTGGCATGGCGTTGAGCATCCACCTTGCTGGTAACAACCTCTGACTCAGTAGAAGACTGGACAATATTGTGCTAATGAGGTTCAGGAAGTAGTCATGTCCATAGTTCTAACTATGAAGATGACTCACTGCTTGCATTTTTTACAGTCCTGAAAATGGCTTTGTAGCTCTGTACATTTGGGTAAAGTTAGTTAAAGAACATCTCAAACCAAGAGTACAATTTGAAAAATATATTAAATGAGCAAAAGTATAAACATCAACAATTATAATATTTTCTACAGTCCTAATGCTATGTTTAAAGTAATCAAGAACTGGAATTTACTGCAATTAAAACACTAAAAAAGTATGACATTTCTAACCTTGCTTAGTTTATGTGTAAATAGCCTCCTGCCAAAGACAAAACTCTGTGATTTCTATTTGCACAATACTCTTTGAATTGGCTCAATACAGGACCAACCATATTCTGTGTTACCTCAAAACCTCTTGGCCCATTAATTTGAATGAAGTAATATTACAGGTGTAATATATTTCAGGCAAACCACTGCATAATGTGTTTTCTTCCTGAGCAAAGTAACTATGAAAAATAGCTAGCCATAAAACAGAAAACAATGATATTCACTCGGCTAATTAATAACCACAATTACATACTTACTTTCTGACAATGCATGGGAAATATAGGCAGAATGATGTTCAAATCCACAGAGAAAGTAGTAAAGAATGGATCAGAAATTTAGATCTGTGGAAACAATATTACTTCTATTCTTAAGATATATTGGTTTATTTAGTATGGCAGCAATGCCACAGAATAAAGATTCCTGCAACTTTCTGTACCACGTTACCATTTTTAACAACTGACAACACAATTTTAATAACAGGCTTTGTTTCCTCAACTCATCTCATCTTCCATGTATGTTGAAACGTAACCTCACTGTGAGTATTCATTTTAAAACAGGAGTTAAACAGAAATACATAAAGCAATATATTCAAATATAAACATAGGGCACTGCAGAATAGTGGGATGTAGGTTCATGGTTGTTAGCTTCTGTGTAGCTTAACTCCCCATCTATACTGTGCCCCATGTAGGAGTGATGGTTGAACACTTTCTTACAGAGTAAATTGGAGACAGAGGGTTGTTCAAAGTCTGGTCTCAGCTGTTACTATGCTATAGTTATTGTGCAGTGTGTTGCTAAAAAATTCAACATATAATGTTTGCTACACCATGTTGTCATGCTAACCAGAAAAGAAATCAGCTGACGAATATTTGGTTGTATGTGTACAATTAGCTCTCCCAAGTGGCAAATTTTTAACACGAGAAGAAAATGAAGAAATGGGAGGTTTTAAAGGGCCCAGAATATCATTTTCAAATAACACTGGAAGCTGCATTCATCACCTGTGTGCTAACCTGATTGGTGGACCTTACTGGTACTGCTGCATGTCATATCAAAAAAGTATATTAGTCAAATAATCTAACATTGATACCAAAACCACTCAGTTCCATGCACCACTCCATAATGTTCTCTCCCTGTCCCGATTAAAATCAAACTTTGAACTCACAAACAAACTGCCTGCCACATTTACACTGTTCTGCACTGACAAGCTCCCTCGCAGCACTCATTTAATCAATCTGTACGGACACACCTCTAGAGCAGTTGGAAATTGATGCCAGATTGAATCTGGGCTATAAGACAGGGATACTACCATAACAGCACAAGAGCCCTCAGGGCTCATTAAATACTCGCAGCTCTGCTAACCATGCAATTGAGTCTTAACCATGAAAATAATTCAGTCCACTGGCTATTGTCAACAAGTGAGCAGTGTAATTGCTCCACCCACCATCTGCTTGCTGCAAAAATTAGCCAATGGCATATATTTTAACATTTAAAGTCAAGAATACAAGTTTTAAGAGATGCAACAAGCTTCTGAGACAATTTGAACTTGGCTTCATGTTGGGTTGAGGTTAGGCAATTTTAAAGTGGAACAGAAGAACAGCTTCTATAGTCCTGTTACGACTCTTGGCTTCAATACTATGCCCTTCTTGAGTTACAGTACTGCTCTTGTGCAGAGGCACACTCAAAATTGTTTTGCATTAACCTGAAAGTAATCCAGTCATAAAATTGTTGCTTTAGCATTGGTTAGGATGACATACTGTGTTTAAAGAGCAAGTCCAAGGCTGGAAATTCTTTTTTTGGAATTAAAAAGGCTGGAATTCTGACTCATTTCCTGACCACACACTCTCCTGCCCCCAAAGTCTGTTCACCATCTACAAAGCCCAAGTCTAGATTTTAATATAATAGTCTTCATTTGGTAGATAAGAGAGCTCCCACAAAATGCAAGAGCTACAAGACAATTCAGGATAAACCAGCCTACTTGATCAATGCCTCATCCATCACCTTAAATATTTATCTATCCATCAACAGTGTAGCAACTGCAAGGTGCATGTAAAATAAATTGGACACTTCTAACTTTCAAAGTTTTGGCAAAGATCTGTAGCTCGGGTTGTAGGTGAGGTTGTTGACTTGCTCGCTGAGCTGGCTTGTTCTCGTTCAGATGTTTCGTCACCATGCTAGGTGACATATCAGTGGGGCCTCCGATGAAGCGATGTTGTTCTACTCCACTTGGAATTTATACTGTCTGGTCCGTTATGGTGATAGTGTCATTTCCGGTTTTACAAACCCACACAGATCAAAACCGGAAATGACACTATCACCATAATGGACCAAACAATATAAATTCCAAGCGGAGTAGAATAACCTCGCTTCATGGGAGGCTCCACTGATGATGTCACCTAGCATGGTGATGAAACGTCTGAAGAAGAATAAGCCAGCGAGCAAGTCAACAACCTCACTTCTAACTTTGCTTATTTATAAATAGCCTCATGCTGAACACAAAACGCCAGAATTTCTGTTTACACCATAGTTGGGGTTGGCTCAATACAGGATTGATTCCTTATTCTCCATCCTGCATTCCCCCAACCCCTTGGCACAAATGATCACCTACAAGATGCATTGCAGCAACTCGCCAAGGCTCCCTTGACAGCACCTTCCAAAACTTCTATCACATAGAACGACAAAGGCTGCAGAAGCATAGGAACACCACCATAAGTATCCCACCAAGTTACGCACCATCCTGACTTGGGAAATAATCATTGTTACATTACTTTTATATGTCAGAGATTGGAATCCTCTGCCAAAAAGGACAGTATCTATACCTAATGGACTGCTGCAGTTCAGGAAGACAGCTCAAGGACAGTTAGGAATGAATAATACATTTGACTTAATCAGCAATGCCCACATCCCATGAAAAAAAAGTGAAGGCTTGGAAGTAGATTGACCTTTGGTCATTTGCTAGTTACATGCTGTCCAAAGGAAAACATTGGTATATTTAAACAAAGTGAATTTTATAAATAAAGAGATTATATAAATTTGCTATGAAAAATTTCTCACTACTAAGGAACAAAGCAGCAGTCTACTGAGGCAAATTCCATTGTACTGGTATGCTTAACAGTTGGCATAGCTAGCATAAGAGTATTTACAATGTCAACATTACCTTTACCATTTATTTAATGCAAAAGACAAATACTTATAATTATTTCTCTATTTATTTCTTTTCACAAGTAAACATTTTAAATGTCCGTGTTTAAATAACAAACCACTGACAACTAAATGAAGAGACTGGAAACTTGATTACAGTATATATTATTTAAAGCTGACATTAAAAGGAACACAACAATGATGAACATCCCCCATGGCTCTCCTACCATCTTTGAGTTTATTGGTAATGACAAACTCAAAATTCAATTTGCAGTAGGAAGATTTGAGGCTCCTCTCCCTCACATTCCTTCTCAATCTGCATGTTTCAGGATAAAATTTCAAGTTCAGCTTTCAACTTAATGCAGTTTATTCCACAGAAGAGTATTAAATGCAGTCAACGCAGGATGCACAATGTCATTTCATAATCCTCACACGGACAATAGTAACCAGTAAATTACTTGACCATACATGACAATAAAATATTAAATTAAACTAAACAGATATTTACAAACACTTATCTTGATCACATTATTGCTTTGAAGTAACACAGCGTGGAGCTGGAGGAACACAGTAGGTCAAGCAGCATCAGAGGAGCTGGAGCAGGAAAGCTGACGTTTCGGGTCGGGACCCTCCTTCAGAAAGGTCCTCCAGCTCCAGACTGTGTTATCTCAGACTCCAGCATCGGCAGTTCTTACTATTTTTGATTGCTTTGAGGTAATTGTCTATTGACTACTTGGTAAAGATTTTTTTTAATAAAATGTTCTCTTACCTGAAAAAATACCTGAAGCACCCATCTCTTTGGTCGAACCAAGTATAAGATAGATCATGCTGAGAAGCACTGGTATCTGTCTCCTATGACATCCATCGAGCAGGTGCATTGTGTATTGGCAACCAGCAGTTCACATCTTTTTAAATCTTTCCCTGACCACGCATCTCCAAGTGACGTCCTTCTCAAGTGTGTAAATCACAGGCCTGGAAAGCTGGAAAAAGAGGAGTTGTCACCAAGTTGCCCCAAGTAAATAATGCACCACAAAACTTCACAAATACATTTACCTGAGGTGTGTGATAAACACGGAGACAAGTGCACAGCGCAACACCAAAGATTTATGAGGACAGCACAGACAGCCACGTGAGAGTATAAGGACAGTATAGACACCCATCTGAGCAATATGTAGAAACTATAGACCTCAAACTGAGGAATTCCAGGTCAGTCACAACCAAGGACCATAACCACAGAATGGAACCCCACCTGAGGGGCACAAAGACAGTAAAGAAACCGCATGTATGGAACATTAGGACAGCTTAGAAACCCCACCTGAAGGGAATGAGGACAGTACAGAAACCCCACCTGAGAGACATGGGGACACTACAGAAATAGAAACCTCATCTGAAGCATGAGAGGACAGTATACAAACCCCACCTGAGGGACAGGGGACAGTATAGAAACCCCACCTGATGGGTAATGAAGAGAGTATAGAACCATCTGATTCTTACGAGGACAGTATAGAAATCCCACCTGATGGGTATGAAGAGAGTATAGAAACCCCACCTGACAGACGGGGGACAGTAACGAAACCCCACCTGACAGACGGGGGACAGTATAGAAACCCCACCTGAGGGACAGGGGGACAGTATGGAAACCCCACCTGAGGTGTATGAGGACAGTATAGAAACCCCACCTGAGGGACAGGGAGACAGTATAGAAACCCCACCTGAGGTGTATGAGGACAGTATAGAAACCCCACCTGAGGAAGCAAGAAACAGGACAGAACCCAATACCTGAATGGGTGCGAAGGTAAGATTCATTGAAGCCGACGCGCCCAGTTCTGGCTGTGAGCCAATACTCCTGGTTTCCGCGTTAAATTACCACCAGTTTGACTGAGCTGTTTTGCCTCCAGTTCTGGATGAATCCTGATTCTCTAACTGTTAGTGCGGATGTCTCCTGGTGTATAATGCAGGCGCTCTCTGTCCCCGCGTGTTCCCACTGCCAGCACACATCCAAAAACTGCGCTGCGAAGCGAACTGTTTTCCTCTTCGCCTCCCGTTCATTCGCCAATGTTTCTTGGCAGTGCCGTCCTGAATTGGTTTAAATTTCCAGTTCAGTTGGAGTTAGCGTTGACTTGTAAACTTGCAGTTCCAGTAAACGCTCCACACCCAAGTAAGTGTTGGCTGTGTCTTCGCCAAACTGTATCCGGAGCTCTCCGCTAGACTGTCATCCCTAACTTACCAAGGACGGCTTCTTCAAAATTAAGCGTGCAAATGTCAAATTATTTTCTTTTAAAAGCAGCTCCACATCACGCAATTCAGGTATTCCGCCTGCTTTTGTTAAATGACTGAGGTCGGGAAAATTAAGTGTATTAGTTGCTGAGATAATGTTTAAAATCTCTTGGATGTAGAAAAGTCTTCAGTTGTATCTTGCCCCCTCGTGATGAAAATCCCCCTTAGGTCCTTGTACCGGAGGAGCTGTGTCATCTATTCCCAGTTTGAGGGCTATTCTCCAATACTGCGAGTTTTTCCATCATTTATCCACCCTGCTCCTCCTCCCGGTGACCCTGGTTTTTCCCAAGTGGATGAATCCGGGAGGAGTCGGCCTTACATGGCTCTGAAACTGCTTAGCTTCTGTCCCGTCCCCATTGCTGGGCAGTGTGTCTCTCAGCCTCCTGGCCCTCCCCAGTTTGCCTACCTCTCTGACCCCACTCTATTCCGACTCAAACTCAGATGCTCTTCAAATCGGCGGCCACACGCGATAAACCGCCCCATGTCACCCCCAAATCAGAAGGTCACACCGATTCTCTTTCCCACTCCATCTGTCTCCCCGCACCGCGCTCGCCAATCGCATGTCTACATGAAAAAAAACGCGTTCGATTGACTTTCTGATCTTTAGGTGAAAATAAAGTTTACAGCCGCCAGTGTTTTGGTAGTTGAATTGACAACATGAAGCGTCACGAAGTGTGGGCGGAACGAGTTGTAAATCCTGTTCCCCTCTCCAACCCGAAATAAATGGAGGCTTCAAACTTTTCCTCTCCCAACCCCTTGTGGATCAAAGGCATGAGCGTTATCTAAGAACGTCGTTTAGAGTCTTATATATGACAGGTTAATGTGCACTAGATAGATCATATACATTCCAACAGTGCTATATCGTAACCGCTTGTCACACAAAGCTATAGGACTGCTAGGTACCTGAAAACATAGCACGCAGCAGATAAAACGCGGTGCCAAGGCAAGAAAGATGGCAAAAGGCAAAGTTAGTTCCTATTTCTTTGACTAATTCCCCACATCAACAAGGAAAACGACGCACCTGTGACGTCTACTGGGTTGCTTTGTTTCTGAGCTCAGTTGCTTTAAAGTGCAGAGTACTCGGCTTTCACTGCACCTTCTACGCTTGGATGTAAGCGCTGACCTTTTAAAAATGTTTTCAATGCAGCTTCCTCTATGACAAATGCATTCAAAAACAGGTATTCCCCGGATTTCTGCCCGACCCCGTGCGCACGGGTGCACATTGACTGGTGTAACATGTTTCAGGTTTTAAAGTAAATATAATATTAACTGTTACTGTTACTGTACATTCTGTAAAGAAATTCCATTGTAGTGCAGCGCGCTCCCTGGTGGAACTTGAATCCGAATTGACTGAAAAATACCAAATCTCAGAATCACAGGATTGCTACAGCGCGGAAGGAGGCCATTCGACCCATCGCCTCTGCTCTAACCAGTGGGAAATTTCCTTCGTCCCATTCCTCCTCCTCTTCCCCCCAATTCTCCATTCCCCCAAACTTGCACATTCTTCCTTTTCAGTGAAAAGTCTAATTCCCTTTGGGCCGCCTCCATCACCCTCTCAAGCAGTGCATTCCTGATGGTAAGGACAGTTTCTGTGAAAAAAAAATTGCTTTCTCGTTTTACTTTTGCCTCTTCTGTTAGTTAGTTTGAATTTGTGCCCTCTGGCTCAATCCTTTCATGAGTGGGGACAGTTTCTCTCTATCTATTCTGTCCACTTATTATTTTGCACACTTGTATCTAATCACTTTTCAACATTTCTTTTTTCAAAGAAAATAGTCCCAATCTCTTGAACCTATCCCAACTAGAGTTCTTCATCCCTGAAACTATACTTTTTTTGGCACTCTCCCTATGCCTTCTCAGCCTTTCTAACGTACTATGCCCTGAACTGGACAAAATGCTCCAGCAAAGGTAAAACTGGTATCTTATACAATTTCAATATAACCTCCTTGCCCTTGTACTGTATGCCCCTAATAATAAAGCTGAGGATACTGTATATTGTTTAAGCTGTTCTGTCAACCTGTCCCGTCAACTTTGATGATTTATGCACACATACACTTGGATCCCTCCGCTCCTGCACCCCCTTTATAGCTGCACATTTTGAATCTCTGCATTCTTCATAACAAAATGAATCACTTCACATTTCTCCATCTTGAACTTCATCTGGTACCCATCTAAATTCTCAAACATATCTAGGGCCCTTTGAAGGTCTACACCATCCTCTTCACGGTTACATTTTGTGCTATTCACAAATTTTGAAATTGTCCTAAGTATACCAAGATCAAGATCATTAACATATATCAGTATAAGCAAGGTCTCAGCACTGATCCCCTGGAACATCCATACAAATCTTCCTCCAGTTCAAAAAATTTCCATTAACCACTACTCTCTGTTTCCTGTCGCACAGCCAATTTTGTACCCATGTTGCTACTGTCCCTTTCTTCTATGAGCTGTAACTTTGTTCACAGGTCTGTGCTGTGGCACTGTATCAAGTATTTGTATTACATTTCTTCCAAACATCAAGTAACTGCTCGCCCCCTTGTGTTCTGTATTTTTACTGCCATTAAATAGCATGCCATCTTTTATTTTTAATGGTAATACAGTCGGTTCGGCTATAAAGTGATAGTTGTGTTCTGCACCATCACATTATAGAAAATCGCGCTATAGACCTCCAGGCCTCCACAATAATGTCAATTGCATTCTTGATGTTAAAGCTCTTCCAAAAAAAAACCCCAAAATCACGGATTACTGTACCTCTCACAGGAAACACTTCACGACAAAGTATGCAAAATGATTATGTGATGCCGGTGCATACTCTTCTGTGCACTAATGGAATTGCATTATAGCCAACACAAGTTTGCATGTTAGAAATAGCGTTCCTCTGTTCGTCAGTTGCTTTATAGCCAATTCACGCTGTCGGAACATGCGTTATAGCAGAACCGACCGTAACCAAGAGTAACTATGACGCATCCTTTGAATCCAAAATATAATGTTCTATTATTATATTTCATGAAGCTTCAGGTGAATTAGTCTTGACTACAACAATGCAGTGCAAGGCACTACAATTTTGATGTTATTCGAATGAATACTTCTTCACAATACACAGTATTGCAGTCAACAACATAAAAGTATGTATCACAAAAGCTAATGTACCCAATAGGGCCCTTTTTCTGTGGAATCTATATGAACTATTCTATTGTGAACTGAAAACAGCCTGCTTTATGGGGAAAATTTTGTCATATTACCCAAACATGAAAGTTAACAATTTTACCCTACTTCAACTATTGATGTATGCTGTGATATTTTCAATCAGGTTGTCAGGTGAGTTTGCCTGAATCATTGTAATTGCCTTACAGGAGCCTTAAAGAATCTTACTGGAGAATAAATTATGCCTTTAATCTGGTTTGTACATTTTTTAACAACCTGTTCAGTAATACTATATTATACCTCTGGCATAGGTGGGACTTGAACTAATTTTTTTGTTTTCAATTCTACCAGCTATTGTTGTGGGATTTGAACCATTTACACATAGTATTAGCTAGACCATTGGATTATTATCCAGTGACATTGCCACTAAAATGCAATTAGCCAAAAGGCATAGCCTTTGAGTCCACGTGTTTAGACATGTTATGACACATGCCTGGGGAACAGTGGGATTTGAACCTAGACCTTACGAAAGATAGAGAACAGTACCACTATTCCACAAGAGCACTAAAGCATTTGTAGTTAAACTGCTTGAACATGTTATGAGGTACCTGCAGAGCAATTGCAAAACCAATCTTTTGGTCCAGAAGTGGAAACACCACTGACGCACTACAAGAGCCTTTGATTTCAAATTTGCCATGGCGAGAGTCAAGCCCCATCATAAAAGCATTAGCTTGACTCCCTGGATTACTAATCCGATAACATTACTACCACATCACTGATTTTCCACCCTTTAATCTAGTTAGCTTTACAATTGGCATAACACATAATTATTTGAACAATCTTTTTGCTGGATTTAAATTCATACCAAAGGATTACAAGTTAAAACTAAGGGCCAGAGATTTGAAAATTTTGAATGTAGCTTTAATTAATATATTTTACATATCTGGCTTCATGTCTATCTATCTTTCTATCCATCTATTTATCTACCTACCTATCTAACTGTCTATCTTTCAATCCATCTATCTATCTGTCTGTTGATCTGGCTAACATCCAGAGTTCACTATTGAAATACGTTTTTTATATACATCTCTGTAACTCCCTTCATTTAACAACCCCGTTCCACACTCAAATCCAGCCTTCAGAATGTATTTACTTGACTTAGCTTTCCTCTGTTCACAATCCCATTTAATGGTCCACTTTCTTGAATTCTCTGCCTATTTACCTTATTCATCCACCTGTACCGTCCTTTCCTATTTCTTTGAATAAGCTTTTGACCACCAATGCTAATATCTCTTTTTGGCTTAGCATCTATTTATTTATGATTTTGCCTCTTTAAAATGCATCAATATTTTTTAGAATAAAGATGCTATAAAATTGCAAGTTGTTGTTGTAATAAGGGATGAGTAATATTATAATCTTCCCTTGTAGCCTAAAATCTTTTATTTAAAAGTGGTTTTAACAGTATCATCCTACCAGGAATTGTACACATCTATTCTCTCTTGATAGTACTTTAGAGACCCAGATAGGCCAACTCTATTAACATTATCATTGTTGCAACAGCACTGAATTGTGCAGTCATTTCTCAGTTTCATGTATTGGCACCTATAAGAGATTTGTGTTTGTCATCTTACCAGATTTGGATTGCTAACTCTGCTGAGCTACTAACTGCGACAGCTACCTTAATTCAAATCGCAACCGTGGGAATTCAAGCCCCTAGATCAAGCCACGTGGCTGGTGAGAGTTCATCAGAAAATATGGAAATTATCATCAAACTAGAAAGTCCAACAGAACAAGAACTCTATAAACAGTCACTTCCATTTGTTCAATTTCATGATGCAAAAATGCCACAACCGCAATTTATTACCCCCATATCAATGTGAGATCCCTGGTTTAATGATAAAATTTAATGATAGAATGAAGGTGAATGAAATACAGTGTACAAATCACAACTAATATTGGTTAAGGATACACAACCAAACCATTACAACATTTGAAGGTGACAGAGGTTTGGAAACTTGAAATAAATTTGTTGAAATGTTCCAGTTTGGGTTTGCTGCAGTTCAGTCATCAGTCTGGCTGAAAAGGATATTGGAGAGTAGATCTGAGCAGGATTGGAACGAAGAATGTTCCACATATCCCGTGAAAGGCAAGTATAGTTAGGACCATATGATTTCCAGCAGCAATAAGTTTTATTTGGAGAAATTGAACGGAGAAGTTGTCCAATATGAGAACAAACTTTGCCAAGTAGACAAGGTGTTGATCCTAGCACTGGTTGGATCTTTATTCAAGGAAGAAGCATAACACCTACTGCCCATCCTGGTGGGACTGGAGATCTACAGGGACTAGACATCCAATAGTAAAGATGATACAGTTAAAGCTGGAGTTGGTAATCGTAATATTGCAGAGGGTATCTGAAGAATCGCTAATCAGCGATTGGAAAAGACTGGAAAAATCAAAAAATGTTAAAAGAGAAAGAAATAGGTTTTGTGGAGCAAGAACAGGCTATAATAATGTATCTACTGGCTAATCCTATTTGTTGTTCTTGGAAAGGAGGTAGAAGAGACAGTGTGGAATAAATCCAATGAGGGGCAATTGGAATAAAATCTCCAGAGGAGATGAAGTTGATGATAATTTGGGAAACGATAGTTTGATGTTCAACGCTGGTGCTGTGGTCCGAGGAAGGTAGGAGGAAATGCAAGATGGCTTTCAGTTTCCTTAAGGAGTTGCAGTTATATTCATTGTGGAGGTCAACAGTTCATTCAACAGTTCCACCTGACGCAGTATGAATGGTTGTGATGCAGGAATGAATCACTCAGGGCAGAAGTTCAGTAAATGGACAGAAGTAAAATTCTGTGGATGCTGGAAATCTGAAAGTAAAACAGAAAGTATTTGAAAAACTCAGTACGTCAGGCAGCATCAGTGGAGAGAGAAACACTGTTAAGTGTTTCGAGTTCAGTAGGACTCGCCTTCAGAACTTTACTATATGGATGATGGTCTGACTTGGATGGTCACATATGAACCATTCCCCTTGCTCCTGGGCAACATGTGGCCGCATCACCGCTGGCTAATCTTCAAGAGGGGCTTGAGGATTATCCTGATTGACTGTAGAATGTGGAAAGCCCAGGTCCATCATAAAGTTACAGCTGTTAGAGTTAAAAAAAACTGCAGATGCCGGAATCCAAGGTAGACAAACAGGAGGCTGGGAGTACACAGCAAGCCAGGCAGCATCTAGAGGAAAGGAGAAGTCAACATTTCGGGTATTACCGTTCTTCAGGACTAAAGAGAACTGAAGAAGGGTAATACCCGAAACGTTGACTTCTCCTTTCTTCCAGATGCTGCCTGGCTTCCGGCGTTCTTCTATTCTCCTGTTTGTCTACCATAAAGTTGCAGCCATTCAGGAGGTGCACCAGGGAGAAAGTTTGGTCAAACTGTAAGGTGCAGAGCATTTTCCTGCAGAGACTAAGGACGTTTCAGAGGAGGATTTTAAATATTTTTTGTAGGGAAGCATCCTTTATGTAAATATAAAAACGAATCCCAGTAAAAACTACAAATCCCAGCAGACAGCTGGGTTACGTGCACTGATCACTCCGCCCCTCCGGTGTAATTTACGGAAACTGGAGAACCCCGCCCCTCTGGTATAGATATTTTCCTAAACGACCAGTTCCGAGATGTTATTACGGACCATCTCCGGAGTTGGTAGCTTTTGAATTCGGTCTCCTAGCTCAGAGGTAGTAGCGTTGTCACAGGGAGCTTCTTCCATGGTGTAACATTCGGAAGGTAGCGCGTGGCCATTCATAAAAGTTCCCGGGATTGGAACGTTGTGTCGCCCAGTGGATCGCGTGCCGCATTGTAACCATGTCCCAGCTGATCGCGCTGGCTCGCTGCGGAAGCTGCGCCCGGTCTGCCCTCGCCCCCGTTGCAGCGCACCAGCGAACCGGCTCCTTGCTCGTTGCCGGCGGAGCCGCCGCAAGCCGGCGCCTTTGCGGCGTGCGATGGCTCAGCCGGCACGGCGTTCGGAAGTTCGGCCTGGGAGATGCTTTTTGTACGGGCCTGCTGGTCGGCGGCGCCGTGCTGATCGGGGTCACCGCCGCCGGCGTTGGGCTCACCCGCCAGCGGGCAGTGATGGCAGCGGAACGCTGGCACGGAGGTGTCGAGCGGGATCAGCAGGCGCGGGATGAAATATTGCGAAAATGCAAACACTTCATGTCGGATCCGGTGACCGACATCAACCAGTTGCTGGAAAATAAGGAGGACATGAGGACTAAGATGGAGTTGCTGATATTGGATGTTCAGGCTGATGTTTGCAAAGCCTTGGCTGAAGTTGACGGCGGTCAGACCTTCAAAGTCGACCGATGGCACCGTAAGGAAGGTAAATATTTCCGAATGCTTGTCTACGTGCAAATGCGCATGCTTCTTGAGTGGCGGAAGTTATTGCGAAGCACCAACTGTCAGTGAAATTGAAGTTATGATGTGAAGAAGTTGGAAGAAATTGCTCTGTTGTCAAATGTATGATCAGCTTTTCAGGGCAGGGAGTATAGGTCAGATATGTTGAGTTAATTTCATTTTTTTAAACATTACCTTTCAGATTACAACTGATTTAATCTGGTGGAAGGGAGACCCCACGTCATTAAGTTGTTTGCTGCACTTGTCTTTTTAAGATCATCTCGTAGATCGCAATTTCGAAATAGATTTTCAATGAACGTGCATGTAACCACGAAGAAAGCTAACAATTACAAATAGTACCTGAGCAAAATGCTGGAAATCGGAAACGATAGCAGAAAATTTCTGTTTTTACTTCCAAAGTACTTAATTAGCTGTAAAACATTTTGGAACTTTTAGGTTGTGAAAGACACGTTTTTCTTTGCCTCAGCGCTGCCCAGGGAATCTGAGCAAACGGACATGACAATATACCGGGAAATCAAAAGAAATGTCAAGAAATTTAAGAGAAGAAAGTAGGCGATAACTGATAAACGAATCAGGTTTGGAGAGGATCGAATCCCTGGTCCAGAGGAATTGCGCATGTATATACATTTAAAAAAAGAGGCTAGGAAGATATAACAGTTCAGTATTACAACAATTATACATATTATGTATCAAAAGGAGAAGTCTAAGTGGATTGGTAGACTGCTAAGGTGATTCTTCTATTTAATGTGGGAGACAGTAAGAATGAATCTGGTTAGCCTGCCAGTGGTAGGTGGAAAAATGAAATTTTATACTCCAGGAAGTAACAGAAAACAAATCTAAAAGTTGAAAATATTATGAGAAGTAGTCAGCAAAGATTTCAAAATGGGGAATTCTGGCTTGACTGAATTTATTGCATTCTTTGAGGAAGTAACAGCGTGGATTAAGGAATGCAGTAGACACAATGCATTCTGATTTTTGGAAAGGGTTTTGCTGTGAGACTGCATAGTAGACTTGTGACTAAGGTTGGAACATTTAGAGCTTTGGATAACTCGCCATATGAAGCTGACCTTTCTGTCCTGGGCATCCTGCAGAGTTCCAATGAAGCTCAAAGCCATTTTGAGGAATAACAACTTGTCTTTTGATTAGATAGTTGAGAACCTTTTGGACTAACATTATGTTGAACAAGTTCAGATTGTTTTTTTTTTTCTGCGCCACCATTTTATTTCCTTTTCTCTGCATGTGTTGACTTTAATCTCATTTTTCTTGTCCTTGCTGTCGGATAGCAGAATCAATTTTCCTATCATTCACAACCATTTCTGGACCTATCTCAGGTTTCTTAATTTGACCCTTTGGCTGTTCCCATCAATACTTTTTTTGTAATTTGTTGTCTTTGCTTTCTACCTTTTCATCAACTTTCCTTTCTCCCCCCACTCTCCCCATTTTGCCTCCATAAAAGCAATAAAATTTGTAACTTTAATTAACTCAGATGAAAGTTCATGGTTCTCTGCTTCCCTCGACACAGATGTTGCCAGATCTGCTGAGCATTTCCAGCATTTTCTGTTTGTACTTTGGGACATTTGGAGTTGGGGCCAGGTAACAGAATAGATAGCACGATGGCTACAAAACAGAAAGCAGAGAGTTGATGATTTAATTACTCTGCCGTAGTGAAGAAGTGGAAGATGGCTGTTCACAAAGGTCAGTTTTGAGACCACTGTTGTTCATCACTACATAAATAATTTTGAATAGGAATTCAGAATTACCATATCAAAGTGTGCAAATAGCAAAGTAGAAGAAATAAGGTAATAGTGAGAATGATTGATTGTAACAAAACACAAGAATTAATTAATAAACATGGAGGAAAAAATGGGTAATTGGTAAATATATTTTAGTACAGGTAAATGTGTGGTGGTGTATTTTGTTAGGCTACCTTAGGAAGCTGGGAAATAGGAATCTACGGGAGTGGAGAGATCAGAGGTGCAAGTAGTTCATGTGTTAATCCGGCTATAAAAAAGCTAACAAAGTGTTGGACTTAATTTATATTGGAATAGAACTGAAAAACAAGTCAGTGCTTTAAAATTGGTCAAACCGCACTTGGGGTCCTGTGCACAGTTCTGGTCTACATTATGATGAAATTGCTGCAGAGGCACTAGGGAAAATGTAACAAAGTTTCACATGGATGATCCTATTCCAGAGAATGCAAACTTGTTGGGAAAGATCCAAGTGGTTGGCACCATTTTCTCTAGAACATAGAAATATAATGAGATAGAAATTTTTATGATTATGAAAATGTTTGTTAGGATAGATGTAAAAAAAAAGGTTTTGAGGCTGGTGACCGAAATAAGGGGTCATATATGCAAGGTAGTAACTAATAAATTTAATGGTTAAAGAAGTTTCTTTTGAATTCCTAGAGTGTTGGAATATGCAACTCATTGCCACAACGAGTAGTTCAGAAGAACAGCATAGATACTATACATTTAAGGGGACTCCAGATAAGCATTTAAGGAAGAAAAGGAATTGTAATTTATGTTGATAGGGTGAGAGTATGTTCATTTGGAGCCTGACTTTGTATTTTTTTATAATTCCTTTTAAGTTAAATTAGTTGACCTCGTCTAATCAAACAATTTTGCCAGTCCAAGCATGTAACAATTTAGGGTGTATTCTGCTTTCTAGTTTTTATATCAAATCTAATTTTTAAGCAGTTGGAGAATCATAGGCTAACGAGTACAGTCAGTATGGATTTTTGAAAGGTAGCTTGACTTTCACCAGTCAAGTAGAATTCTCTACAGAAATAAAAGAAAGCAGCAAAACTAGATGCAGTGGATATTGTATGTAATAAGTTTCAAAAATCATTTGATAAGGTACCTGAAAGAGATTTGCGATGAACTTAATGGATCATGGGACTAAGGAGAAATTGGCTTCAAGGCTAAAGAGTTGTTTGGAGAGTTAAATGTAAAGGTCAGCATGAAGGGACGTTTCCCAGAATGGTAAATTAGTTATGTTGAGTGATGTTCCACACAGCAATCTATATGTATATCATAAATAATCTGGATTTGGAAATTAACATCAACATTTTCTGATGGCACCTATTTGGAGACTGTACCAAATTGTGAAAGTTAACAGTACCAGCTAAAAAGGATAAGATGCCTATAGAGAGGAAATGTGGCTCAACGTGGAAAATACATTTTGAATTTTAAATGGTAAAGAGTTACTGATATGCAAATCATTAAATGTGCTAGGCCAGATAAGTAAAACAATATGCTTAGTTTTGAATCTTTTTAAAAAATGTAGTAAAAGATCATGAAGGCAATGTGGAACTTTTAAAAGATCTCAGCCTGAAATTGAAATATTCTTTACATTTTTGATCACCTTTTTATAAGAAATAACTACCGCTGGGTAGATTCACTAGGACGATACTAGAGACAATGGACTGCAGTTACACAAAGATATTTGAGAAACAAAAGGACCCAGCAGGTCAGTCAACTGTGTGGAGAAAAACAGAAGAGTGAATGATTTTGGATGTAGACTCCTTGCTAGAAATATAGAGCCTACACCTGAAATGTTGACATCTTTACTCTGTACCACTGCCATTGAATCCACATTCTTCACCATGCACTGTACGCCAACATAGGCACAATGGGGGCTCTCTATAGTTGTAGTAGAACTTCCTGTCCTTTATTTTCTATTCCTATAATTTAAAATGGTTACTATCAACTCTTTAACAAATTACAGTGGAGTAGGACGAGGAAGAGCAGGTCTGCACCTTTTTTCCCGCAGTTCATTTAAAGGAAAACAAAGTTTGAATTGTTTTGTGCTCACCTTTGCAAGGTGTGCTTGACTGACTGCTTCTATAAGTAATTTCCTCTCTAATAGGCAAAGCTGGTCTGTTTTGATTGATATTTGAATTGTACACTTATTATTTCAGGTGGTGGTGGTATAAGCTGTGTACTTCAAGATGGCAAAGTGTTTGAGAAAGCTGGGGTGAATGTTTCTGTTGTATTTGGTAACCTTTCGGAGGAAGCTGCTAAGCAGATGAGAAGCAGAGGAAAGTCATTGAAATCTAAAGACGGTAAGGAAGGAATTGCTGACTTGAAATCTGCTTGATTATAATTTCCAGAATTTGCCTTTCGTATATATTATAAAAAATTCTCTCTTTCTTTCTCTAATGTTCAAACTAGCTTGTGCTCACTCTCGTTGAGCTCTTGCACTTTTCTGAATGATTCGTCTTCGCTCTTGGTCACACCAGTTCTTTGTTTGCTTCTAATTTTCCCTGTACATCAATCTACAACAACTGGAAAAGTTGAAAAACATTGTTCAGTTTCATCATCCCAAAAACATAAACTGAAAACAGTGTAAAATAGTCTTGAATAAAAATTTGTTATCAAAACTGCTTTCATGTGATGTGAATAAATTACATTCTATTTTATTACCTCGGATTTCAAGATTTTTATTTGCATTTTGAGTGACATGCCATTAATCAGTTTGATTTTCTTTGTAAACAGATAACCCAGTAATTCAGTTCAGATTTTGACCATTTTAGTGGAGCAATTTGTTTTTGACGGTGTGAATGAAAACAACCATGATGCATTCCCAAAACCCCACGGCAGGAGATCTGATGGATCCTCAAGAGTATTATCCACGCAATTTCATTGTGGCCTAAACTTTGTCCTGCAGATGGCCATAGACAGGATTTTCCACATTCATAGGAGTTCAAGCTTTTTATCCACTTATGGATTTGTACATTGTTTGTATGTGAACTTGGACTTTAGGACCCCAGACTGCGAGCTTGTTCCTAACGTTTAAGTTTTTAAACCCGTGTTCTGCAGCCAAGTGGATCTAGGTAAAAGTAGATTTGAATCTATGTGACAATGTGAAAAGAGCTTTAGAGCAGCTATTCATTATTTCTCATCAGTTTGAACTTGGGCATTGATAAAATTGCGTGCTTTGCGTTCACCTCTTTCAGTCACATTGAGCAAGTAGGAAGGCAGTGCCACTGAACAGAGGCTGAATTAATTGTTCCTGTTTCACACTAAACTCAAAGTCAGTATTCCCCCAAAGAATTTCAAGATTCATTTAGCCTTTTGAGATAGTTTATGACTTGGGATGAATGTTATTTGGTGCTTTTCTTGTTGCTATCTTTCCCCACCACAACCATCTCCTTATTTATAGTCCATTTTATTACTCTTTTTCACTCTATCTCATTCCCATTCTTTGTCTTTTCCCTCCCTCCTTTGAGTGTTTTTAAGATGATAAAGTTAAATTGAAGTACTGGGTTTGTCTAGCAACCCCATTTCAATGCCAGAATGATAATAGGAATGGTTTGGTAGCTGAGGAGGAGGAAACCACTTTAAAGGTTGTTGATCAATTGTTATCTGTCAGTTGCAAAATGCTGCCAGTTTTTCTGATCATGATCACATATGTTAGCTGTGCAGGCTGCCAATGGGATTTTCCTATCACTGGCCTACGCATGTTCTTTCTTACAAATGAGGAAGGTCCAATGGCATGTCACACATACAACTTTCAAACAATTTACACTGTGCAGACCATTCTACAGTTTAAACAAGAATAATTTTGCAGTTCCCAGATCTGCTTCGAGTTTAAGGGGTTCTGTAATATAAAGGATTCCTTCTTAGACTCACAGTCTTAACTTTGCTGCAGGTTATGAAACAACCCTTAAACGAACACTATGAATGTCGTCCTGTCATTTCTGAGTGTGGTGTGTTATTTTGGATGCAGGGCAACTACCTTTCTGTGCCATGGGAGTGAGTTCTGTGATCCATCCCAAGAATCCTCACATTCCAACCATCCATTTCAACTATAGATACTTTGAAATTGAAGAAGCAGATGGTAAGTGTCCATTTTTAAATATTTTATACATTCACGATTAAGTTACCTTTTATGCCCTACCATATCCAGTCATGAATGGTGGTGGACAATTAACCAACTCACTGGAGGAGGAGGCTCCACAAATATTCCCAACCTCAATGATGGAACAGCCCAGCACATTAGTGTGAAGATAAGGCTGAAGCGTTTGTAGCAATCTTCAGCCAGAAGTGCCGAGTGGATGATCCATATCAGCCTTTTCCAGTGGCCCTCAGCGTCACAGATGCTGCTAGTGTCCAACCAATTTGATTCACTCCACATAACATGAAGAAACAGATGGAGGCACTGGATTCTGCAAAGGCAATAGTTCTGAAGATTTGTGCTCCAGAACTTGCTACTCTCCTTAGCCAAACTGTTTCAATACAGTTACGACTTTGGCATCTATCCAACAATGTGGAGAATTGTCCTGGTATGTCCTGTATACAGAAAGTACTGTTGTACTCAGGTACATGTAACAATAAAGTCTAATCTAATCTAATTTCAACCTGGGCAATTATTGCCCCATCAGTTTACTCTCGTGTATCTGATCATCAACAAAGAGATGGAAGGTGTCATCAACAGTACTGTTAAGCAGCACCTGCTTGACAATAACCTGCTCAGTGACGCCCACTTTGAGTTCCGCCAGGGCCACTCGGTTCCTGACCTCATTACAGCCTTGGTTCCAACATGGACAAAAGACTGAATTCCAGAGGTGAGGCGAGAGTGTTAGCCCTTGATATCATGGCCACAATCAACTGTGTGTGGCAGCAAGGAACCCTAGCCAAACTTGAATCAGTGGGTATCAAGGCCAAACTCTCTGCTGGTGGGAGTCACACCTGGCACATAGGAAGATGGTTGTGTTTGTTGGAAGTCAGTCATCTCAGCTCCAGGACATCTCTACAGGAGTTCCTCAGGGTAGTGTCCTAGGCCCAAACATCTTCAGCTGCTTCATCAATGACCTTACCTCCATCGTAAGATCAGAAGTGGGATGTTTGCTGATGATTGCATAATATTCAATGCCATTTGCAACATCTCCAATACTGAGGCAGTCCATGTTCAAATGCAACAAGATCTGGACAATATCCAGGCTTGAGGTTGGCAAGCAACATTCACATTACACAAAATCCAGGCAATGACCATCTCAAATAAGAGACCATCTAATCACCACCACTTGACATTAAATGGTTTTACCATCTTGGGGATTACCATTGTCCAGAAACTCAACTGGGCTCACCTTATAAATACATTTATAAGAGCTGGTCAGAGGCTAGGAATGTTGTGGCGAGATACTCAACTCCTGACTCCCTAAAGTCTTTCCACCATCTACAAGGCACAAGTCAGGAGTGTGATGGAATACTCCCCACTTGCAAGAAACTTGACACCATCTAGGACAAAGCAGTCCAGCACCATGTTCACAAGCACCCACTCCGTCCACCACCGACACTCAGTAGCAGCAGTGTGCGCAATTTACAAAATGCACTGCAGAAATTCACCAAAGATCCTCAGACAGCACCTTCCAAACCCACGACCATTTCCATCTAGAAGGACAAGGGCATCAGACACGTGGGAATACCACCATCTGCAATTGCCCTTCCAAACCATTCACCATCCTGACTTGGAGCTATATTGGCATTCCTTCTCTGTCGCTGGGTCAAAATTGTGGAATTCCCTCCTTAAGAGCATTGTGGGTTTACCTACAGCACATGGACTGCAGTGGTTCAAGAAGGCAGCTCACCACCACCTTCTGAAGCGCAACTAGAGACAGGCAATTAATACTGGCTAGCCAGTGACACCCATGCCCCATGAGTGAATTAACAAAAAAAGTAGGCATTCAGTGATATGGTTCTGTCAAGGCAATAATAGCAAGATGTGAAATGTAGTGTTATAAAGCGGAGGTTGATGCCCCCCCCCCCCCCCCAACCCCCTGAATAACTAAAACTTAAACACCCAGAGAGGCTCGCCTTGCCCCATAATCTGTTAAAAGAAGTGTGAAAAGTGGTATAACCTGCCTCTCACCCCCAAGCTGTTATAAAGCCGTGGTTAAATGAAATAAACTCCTGAAATTCACTCTATAATCAACAAATAACAAGTTATTTATCTAACTATAGCAGTGAACAAAATTAACTGAAGAAGACAAAATTCTAATGGTATGTTCTTCCAATAAATACAAGTCCCACTTGTATAAACCAAAATTTAAAAATTGTATAACTTAGTCTCGAAATTACAGTCAGGTTACGTCTTCCGGAATATTATTTGTCTTCTCCGTTGATCTTCTGTCAGGAACATCTTCTCCGTCGAATCCTTTCGTCAGGAATATTAACTAAGAGTGCCGCGGTACTTTTACTTAGATGGTGCTTTCTCCGAGCTGAGAGAGCGATCTCTTAGCAGATGGCGTTTGCTCTCTGCAGATTTTGCAATTGTCCCCATCTTTTATAACCTTGATGACATATCAGTTTCTTACAGAAGGATTGGTCCTATGTTGTCTGATCAATCAGATTTAAATTTAATTGATTTTTAGTGTCGAGGTGCCTGGTTTAAATTAATTGTTTAAATCAAAACTTGTTGTCTTGATAGCAAAACAAAATTGTGGCTTGGCCTGCTAACCATCCAGCCTTTTGATGCAGATGTTACAATTCAGGTGCTCTGTGCACCTGCAAACCCACAAGCTGCCCACAGACATTTTTTAAAAAATCTCCAAGCCTAGAAAAAGCACATCATATTTTAAAGGGACCACGCACTGCTTTCCTCTCTATCATTTTATAAGCATCAATATTTTACAAACACCCAAATTCTAATTTCCTGCCTTCCAATCCACGAGTACGCTACCCAACTTCGCAACAGTAGGGGGCAGAATTTAATGAGGATGTCAGGGGACCAATATCCACTACCACAGATCCCCCAAGCATCCTGTAGGAGTTAAACCTCTAATTGGCAATGGGAATCCTGCTGATGAGGCTTCCGGCTCCACAGGGGACATCAAATTGCAGGGCATCCATTCCTCAGACTGAAATACCGTCCCTGTGAACACCAGGAAGAGAATGGTGGCAGTAAATACTTCCCATAGATTATTGCTCAAGATTTTTCATAAGCACAGCCGTGAGCATTGTTAGAAACATAGAAAATGGGTGCAGGAGTAGACCATTTGGCTCTTTGAGCCTGCACCACTTGTTGGGACAGTTGCATCCCAAATGTCTCCGTATGTATGTGAAGTTCAGCAAAGCACAGAACAATATTACATATTCTATACCTGGGAACAGGGAAAAATATGGTTTGGCTCTAAAATAGTTCAGATCATGCATTGTCTATCAGGCAGGCAGATCTATCCAGTATGTCATTCATGTCCATGGGGTTAAAATAACCATCACCTCTTCGCTTTCAAGTCAAAAGCTAACTTTTAGTTCTATGTGAATTGTAAACAAGATTAGGCTCTTCAGTTATTTGAGACTGCTGTGCCGTTTGATGAGATTGGATTGTGACGTCAACTTTACTTTCCTGTCCATGTCCTATAACCTTACATTCAGCCTTAACTATTTTCAATGACCCTGTCTTCATTGCTTTGTGGTTGTCACCTGCACCCATAAGACAGAATTGCTCCCTGACCGACAACAGTGCTGCAGTGTTCTCTCTCTCCAGAGTGTATAGTGTGGGCTTAATCTTAACCTTCCAGACTGGGAGGTGGAAATATTGCACCTTCTGTCATGAAATGACTGCCCACTTGATGTCACATATCCACCAAATTCAAGTGTCTGTTTTCTGAGGCCATCTGTTGTGGACCTCGACCCTTTGATCTTTTATCTTAGTGGTACAAAGTTTACCTCAGAGTCAAAGCAATCTTTATGAATTGAATAAAGTTGTAAATATAAAATATAAATATAAAATATAAATATAAAATTATTCAATTCATATAAATATAAAATAAGTTTCTGTTGTTTAGTTAAGCATTCTTCTTTAATAGGTCAAAAATCATGGTGGTTTGGTGGGGGTACAGACCTTACCCCTACATACCTGAATAAAGATGATGCTATCCATTTTCACAAGACCCTCAAGGAGGCCTGCGACAAGCATGATAAAAGCTATTATCCAACTTTTAAAAAATGGTGAGTTGAATGGAATGCGGAAGCTGTTTTATTTATTTATTTTGTTTTCAACATCAATTTTTTTTGTGGATCTCATTCAAATTCATTAAAAATATCTAACTGCTAATGTGCAAAGTTGTCAAGAAGTGCAATGAGTTTATATGCATAATTAATCAAAACCTATGTAACGTTGCCCTTGTGGAAGAGAGTACACTTGATTCATGCACTTGCGAGATCAGCCTCAGATCTGGTTTTCACCTCCCTCCCCAAACTAATTGACAGGACTCGTTGGATTGTGCAGTCCTTCACAGTAGAAAGGCAATTTCTATTATAGTGCTATGCAGGTTTTGTTTCGTTTTCCTGGGAAGGTCTGTGCCCCTGTATTCTGCAGTTAACCAGGATTTGGTGCAACATAATGGAGTGACTGTGGGAGATTTGTATCTTGAAGAGTTTTGCTTTATGCAGTCATTTAAGAATTTTAAAAAGGCTGAAAAGACAGAAAATCATAGAATCCCTGCAGTGTGGGAGCAGGCCATTCAGTCCATCGAATCCACACTAGCCCTCTGAAGAACATCCCACCTTTTTGGCCATGCTAAATTGCCTGTTGTGTTCAGGGATGTGTAGATTAGGTGGGTTATAGTGGGGTGGGCCTGGGTGGGATGCTTTGAGGTTCGGTGTGGACTTGTTGGGCCAAAGGGCCTGTTTCCACTGTAGGGATTCATGGTTCATGATTCATGATTCAGACCTGCTCCACCCCTGTAACCCTGCATTTCCCATGGTTAATCCATCTCGCCTGTACATCCCTGGACACAATGGGCAATTTAGCTTGGCCAGTCCACCTGACCTGCACAACTTTGAACTGTGGGAGGAAACCCACGCAGACACAGGGAGAATGTGCAAATTCCACACAGACAGTCACCCGAGGGTGGAGTTGAATCTGGGTCCCTGGTGCTGTGAGGTAGCAGTGCAAACCACTGTGCCGCGCCAGCGGGACATACCAACAAACTGGCTGTTTCTACCAGTGCTAAGGGTGGAAGAATAAAAAAAAACTTAGGAGAACAAACTGGGTGGTAAAGGTGAGGGAAAATAGAAACCCATTGTGGAGGGATAAAAAGGTGCTGCAGTTATTTGGTTCAGATCTAAGTGCCTTAAGGTGTGTGTTTAATTGACAGCTTTTTGATCTTAGGACAGATGTTTAAATTTTCTTTGACATGGTCATTTTATGTTTCAAACTGAGTCGTTCCCTTTAAAGTTGAAAAGTAAAGGTTGGGGGAGGGGTAAATGGAAAAAGTTTCATTATGCGCGTCTCACAGCACTTGCAGTAAAATTGTAGTCAGATTTACAAGTTAATAACTGAGCATTGGTAGTTTTACTATTTTTTTTCCACCATTCTATCTAGCCTACCGGTTTCTGAATATTTTCACGTTGATTCCTAAAAGCGCTGCTGTTTTTCTACGATTGCACACTGGGGAAGGTTTGGTTAGCCTTCTAGCTGAAAGTTGCAGCCAGACTCATTGATAAGAGTCAGTTGAATGACTGATCATTTTTGTGACTTGTAAGATTATTGTAAGAACTTCGTATGTGAAACCAGATCACAGTGACTTTGGACTGAGGAGTTCTTATCAAGGGTACACAAAGGGATTATCGTGCAATTCCTGGCATTTTTGTCAAGTACTTGTACTTTTGTGCGGGTGGGTTCGCTCAGTTCAAACCTGGCTTATAATAAGAGGTAACAAGTCTGTTAGATGATTTCTTCTGCACCCCATTGTTTTCAAAACCTGGAGTGTAATCCAAAGTCAAAATTTTTAGATTGTGTAACCCAACTGGAAAAGTTGATGAGTTTCATACTGCTAAATCTCTGTTCTCTACTATGTTTTCTCCATATTCTATTGTCATTACTGACGGCTGCAGGGAAACACATAATGAATGTTGGGCAATTCCATGCAAATAAACAGACATAATACCATTTTCTACAATTTCCATTTTTGCAGCAGTGTTTCCTCCCCTTTTGTATAAGAAAGCCATCCAGGACTGCTAGCTGTTAAGGTGATAGTGGAAAGCAGTTTAAGAGCCTACCACAAGTATGACTTGCCACTGATTGTTACAATTGCCATAATAACTGCCTTTATGCAGTTTGCTGTTGATTGATTGATATTTTTGTCCCAAACTGTTTTAGGGGAGATTGTAGTAGATTTCCCATTGGAAACCTCTGTGTATCTTTGTATTTTTTTTTGACTCAGCGGAATAACAGTAAAAATGGGTTGAGGGTCTGGTGAGTCAGCACCGGGAATATGTGGGACTGCTGTTATACTAAGACAGGCAGAAATACACAGGTTGGCAATTTTTTTAAAGAAACTATGCTTTTGAAGTCTCTTAATTTTACAGTTATCTAACCATAAGATATAGCAGCAGAATTAGGCCATTCAGCCCATCAAGTCTGCACCACTGTTTGATTGTGGTTGCTCTGTTTCTCCCCATTCTCCTGTCTTCTCTCCATAACCGTTGATCCCCTTAGTAATCAAGAACCTATCTATCTCTCTCTTCAACACTCAGTGACTTGGCCACCATAGCCTTCTGCAGCAACAAGTTCCACAGATTCACCACCTTTTGGTTGATGAAATTCTGCCTTATCCCAGTTCTAAAGGGTCATCCTTTTATTCTGAGGCTTTGCCCTCAGGTCCTAGTCCCTCTGACCAGTGGAGATATCATTTGCATGTCACTCTTATCCAGGCCTCTCACTATTCTGTAGGTTTCAATCGGTTCTCCCTCCTGTTTCTGAACTGCAATTAGTACAGATAGCAGAGTCATCAGGTGTTCCTCATGACAAAACCTTAATTTCCAGGGTCAATGTCATGAACCACCTGTGGACCGCCTCCAAGGCCAGCACATCCTCCCTTAGATATGGGGACCAAAACTGCTCACAATATTACAAATGCTGTCTGACCAAAGCCTTATACAGCCTTAGCAGGACATCTCTGCTCTTGTATTCTTGCCCTCTTGAAATAAATTTTAACATTGCATTTGTCTTCTTAACTGCCAACTGAACCTGCATGTTAACCTTAAAAGAATCGTGAACCAGGACTCCTAAGTCCTTTTGGTACTTCAGATTTGCGAAGACTTTCCCCATTTAGAAAATAGTCTGTCTCCTTTCTTCCTAACAAAGTGTATATTCTTATACTTTTCCACATTGTATTCCATCCACCACATCTTGGTCCACTCTCCCAGCCTGTCCAAGTCCTTCTGCAGTCTCACCTCTTCCTAACTGCTACCTGTCCCTCCACCTTTCTTTGTGTCATCCACAAACTTAGCAAAGTCGATCCACTTGTAACAAAATACAAACTTTAATTTTTCAAACATAACATGTGTACAGTCGTTTCAGTGCTATAAATATAAAGTATGCCTAGTCAATAAGGAATTTAGGAGTAATTACATTACATGTAAATTGGAACACACTATCATGTGAAATGGTGGAGGCAAGCTCAATAAGTTTGAGAGGGAGTAAGGAACAGGCTGACATGAGTAATGTGAGAAGACACTGTGGAGCATTGTTCTGTTTGGATAGGAAAGGCAGTTTATCTGTGATAAAGTTCTGTGTAATTATCATTTTACCAAGAAGCAGGTTATGTTTAAGTCCACTTCCCACCATGACACCTTCCTTTTGTAGCTGTATATGAGGGATTGTAGGACTAGGCTTCCCAAAGTATCTGGTTCATGAACTGAAATTTTGGGATCCCATGCTGTAAGACAGAAATGGCACTGTGGAGCTTTGGCCAAATTGTAACAGGCCCTCGTTCTCATGTCCTGTTGTCATATTCTTCCTTAGTTTTGTCCGAGGGATTACATCAACTTTCGGGTTTCAATATGGCGTCGTAGTATGGAAACGTTTGGGAAACATTCCTGTATGACCTGTGTGCAAAAAGATGTCTTCAAATTTCAGGCTGCCAATGATGAAATGTTTAGTTCTGTACTCGGGACAAGTGTGTACCAGGGACAAGGATAGAAATTGTGACCGAATACCACACACATACCCGCCCACCCCCGATAAATCTCAATTTTGGTGCCAGACCTTAAATACTTCAGAGTTAATATAATCATCAGCAGATTCTAATCTAAAGAGATGTTGTGACGTTCTTGAGCAAGAAAGTAAAATTAGAAATTTACATTAATGCACATTTTAACATTTTATTTATATGTTCTTTCCATTCTCCCTAATCAAGGTGTGATGATTATTTTGTCATCAAACATCGTGGGGAGCGTAGAGGAGTGGGAGGCATATTTTTTGATGACTTGGATTCACCCTCAGCAGAACAGCTGTTCAAATTTGTCCGTAGCTGTGCTAAGGCTGTGGTTCCTTGCTATATTCCTATTGTGCAGAAGCATCTACATGATACATATACAGCAGAAGAAAAAGCTTGGCAGCAACTTCGGAGAGGCAGGTGAGTTGAATGAAATCCAAAAGAAAATGATCTATCTCCAGAAACTAATCGGATGTTCACCTCATGCTAATTTAAGAACGAGTTGATTCCCCACAGGTATGCAGGAAGATAAAACTAAATATTAAAATTATCCTTCCAAATTCTGTACCTTTCACAGCTGTAGAGAACCATTGTCTAAGCAATTAGTGCGTAAGAAATGGAAATGTTGTGAATATATGTTTTAAGTTCCCTTGATAATTGTTTCAGTAGTGTCTTTAGTTACAAGCCTACAGTCACCAATCATTTTTCTGATTTCTGATTTTGATTTTATTGTCACGTGTACTCAAGCATAAAAGTACAGGAGTCTGGTGAAAAATGTATAATGTCACTACAGAAGGCGCCATCTTAGGTACAAGTACCTAGATATGGAATCTTAAGAACAAAGTAGAAAGAAAGAACAAAATTAAAAGCTAAACACTGCAGTAAATATAGTATAGTGTAAAACATACAAAATAAGGTTAAAAGTTACACATTGCAGACCTTAAGTAGAAAATAAAGAAATGAAGCTGAAATTTGAAACATCACAGTCTTTCTTAAGTGCTGAGCCACAGAACCACACTTTGTGGAATTGTCTCAAGATCGGAAGTTCACACTGAGGCCACACCAGGCCAAGAGACCACCACGTGGGGCTACTGAGAGATCGCAATGCCGTCTTTTAACGGGAAAATTAAACCTCATACCTTCTATGTGAAACTAACTCCTCATGCAGTGCAGGGCACATTCCATCAAACGTTGTTTCTATGCAAGGAAGCTGATAGGTAATACTAAATTACACATTCAAGTCCAAATCCAGATAGAAAAAAGGAAGGCCTTTTAGAAAATAAAACCATTAATGTTTATTTTAATCCTTGGGTCTGAAGGTAGAGCAGAAGGAAGCAAGGTTAAAATAGAGAGAATTACTAGTTTCTTCATTCGTGCCAAACTCCTGTCAATCCCATGTCAACTTCGTCAGGTTTCAGAAGAGAATGAAAATGCTTGCTATAGGGAGCCAAGGGGCATGTCAAATATGCAGTGTGAGGTTCTACTCTACAATTAGAACCTCGGTGTATTTTTTTTTAAACGTGAGGCAGATCCCCAGGCATAAGCATTTTCCATTTTGATTCTTCTCCGGGAAGACAGACACTCACCCAAAGTTCATCACAAGTGATGTTTTACAAGAGAGGCATTGGCACAGTTGTATTGCACATTGTCATCTAATGTTTGGCCAAACAAATGTGGCACTGGCAATGTCTTCAACTCCATTCTTCTAATAACCACCATTACATTGACATTTTAGTTTAATTCTCATGTTGTTAATTTTTATTTGTTATAGCTACCTGTTTGAACATGCACACTTTTTTTTTAGTTATCTTATTTCTTATTTCAGCTTACTGAACAGAGCAATCATTTTGTGTCATGTCCAGCATTGCAGCCAGAATTCCAAGTCTTTCAGTCATGCTTTTAACACTTTCCCAGAGTTCCTAGCTCCTTGTCTGCTTGCCTGCCACTGCAGCCCTGTTTCTGCAAACCAGGCAGCCTCCATGGGGTCAATGCTATGTTTTAACAGCTCCCTCACAAACCAAAACACGTTAAATATTACCAAAATGCGTTCTAACATTGTAGCTTGTGGCGTCTTCTAGAATACTTGACAGAATGTATAACATGAGAAACAGCATTCCACTAATTATATATTGCTCCCTATCATCATTTTAAAGAATCTCATGAGAATACGCATTGCTTCTGGATGTGAAGAGAATATCCTGTTTGCGACTTCATGCATCTCCTTCATAAGGAAGTAGTGCATCAATCCTGGAAGTTGGTGTCAACTAGGGTTACTTCAGTATAAACAACCGACAGGACATGAAAACATTGGTCTCTCTAAACTTGCTTTGTAGCAAGAATCAAATTGGTCCAAGTATGTGGTACCTGAGGGAATGCTGCACTGTCAGAGGTACCATCTTTCACATGAGATGTTAAACTAAGTTCTGTCTAGTCTCTGTGGTTGATATGGAAGATTCAACAACAGTGTTTTAGACAAGTGCTGGAGTGTTATCCCCAATGTCATGGCTAATACTTAGTATTCATTGCCATCAGATTACCTGGTCATTATCACATTGCTGTTGACAGGACCTTTGATGTGTGCAAATTATCTGTCATATTTCCTGCATTGGAAAAGTAACTACACCTTCAAAATGTACTTAGGAGGGACAGAGCTTTGAGGTATCTGGTTGTGATGGAATTATGATGTTATACAAATACGAGTTATATTTTAAAAAGAACAGCCTGCATGTATCATATGATTGCTGCATGGCAGCTTAGAGAGAACATCGAAATAAAACAAAGAACTGCAGATGCTGGAGATCTGCATCAAAAACAGAAATTGCTGGAGAACCTCAGCAGGTCTGGCAGCATCTGTGGAGAGAAATCAGAGTTAACCTTTGAGTCCAGTGACTCTTCATCAGAATTCAAAATGTTAACTCTGTTTTCTTCCCACAAATGCTGCCCAACCTGCTGAGTTTCTCCAGCAATTTCTGTTTTTCTTAGAGGGGATATTGCTAGACACTGTTGCAAAGGACAGCAGATCTTAAGGAAGCTGCAAAGGCAAGGCTATCCAACAATAAGACATTATGTAGTTAGCTAAAAATTGACTATTAACCTTGGTTGAAAAGCAATTTATTGTAGACTATGGTCAGGTTGGATTGTGACAATGTATTCTGCAGTACATAACGCTCCTTTCTATCCTTTGTCTGTTTTCCTTCATAGTACTTCGTAGATTATCAAGGGGACCAAGGGTTATGGGGAGAAAGCAGGAGAATGGGATTGAGGAACTTTATCAGCCATGATTGAATGGCAGAGCAGACTCGGTGGGCCGAATGGCCTAATTTCTGTTCCTTTGTCTTACAGTCTTACTGTATACTTTTTTCTATCTTGTGTGCAATTGGTCTATTACATTCAGTCCTAAAGGGAAAGATACAGCAAGTTCCAGTAGGTGGCACTATTTGTCAATTGTTTGGGCAGAGTTTTCTCAGTGCTACTTTCCAAGATCCACACTGTTTGAATTTACTTAACTCATAACTTGGAACTCTAATAATAGGTTAAGTAGTTTCAACTCCTAGCCTCATCCATCAGCAGTGAAAGCAGAGAGGAAGAAAGAGGTGCACAAAAGATCAAACTAATGCTAGTTTATTTTCAGCATGTTAGTTATAAATTTACAATGCACTATCTAACAGCATGCAGTTTAAATTAATGCAGAAAGGTAATGCTGGCTTTATGTTTTGCTGCAATCTGGCATTACTTTGACATGCAAAAGCAAAATACTTTAGAAACTGAAAAATCTGAAATTAAAGCAAAATGCTGAAAATATTCAACAGATTAGACAGCATCTGTGGACAGAAAGAAAGTTCGTGTTTTCAGTCAGGAATCCCTCATTTGAAACATTAACTCTGTTTCTCTCTCTGCTGATGCTGCCAGACCTGCTGAGTATTTCCAGCATTTTCTGGTCTCATGACCATAATGTAAACAGTACTAGCTACTCTGCCTTCCTTGCTAACATTGTTAGCTCCTTTTTACTACTTATGATTTCTCTTTCAGATACGTAGAGTTCAATCTAGTTTATGATCGAGGAACAAAGTTTGGTCTTGCAACTCCAGGATCTAGGATAGAAAGCATTCTGATGTCTCTCCCACTGACTGCCAGGTAAGGGGTCAACACAAATAATCTCACGTTCACCATTACCTGTCAATTTACCTTTTTGCTTTTATGCTGAAATGTGGTGACATCAATTAAGCTAAGTGGTTTGAGTGAGATTGTTGGATTAAGTGAAGTTGTACAGTTTTAATTAATCATATTAGCATAATGTGTATTCTCAAATCTTTAAAGTAAATATTTTGAATTATTAGCAATGAAAACAACGTATGCCAAGATTGCTATTATTCCCTACAGTGTAACCCCTATTCTGTTTTATAGGCTGAAATCGAAAGATGATCTTAATATTTCTAACTCTGAAATCCCATTTTTCAAAATGCGTCTATAATATAGTCCAAATGGGATTTGTCAGTGAAAATATACTTTCCTTTGCTAACAATGCCACATAGCCTCTCTCTTTCTCCTTAGTACTTTCCCTAAAGTCCTCTTTGCATTGATGTCTTCTCAGTTACTTTTATCTAATGGCTAACCAGTGTTCTCTAGCTTTGCTGAGAATGACAATGATGTGCTATTTTTGTCAATGAAGAGGTCATGATAAATAAGGTCTCCAATGGATAATGTATTTCTAAGTTAAGAGTAAGCAGCAATTGAATTTTGATGTAAAACGTAAGCTAGGTGATGAAGGTTTGAAATTCGAGAAAGAGGGCAAGAAACCAGAGAAACAAACCCAGAAAGTCAGAAGAACATATTAATGTGAATGAATGATTTATTATCGCATGTAACTTGCAATGAGAAGAACAGTAAAATACAATGAAAAACTTTTTCAGTTTCACCACGACCTGGTGCCATTTTGAATAATTTAAGAGCAAGGGAAAAAAAAATCAGAAAGATAAAGATAACACAGCGTGGAGCTGGAGGAACACAGCAGGCCAGGCAGCACCAGAGGAGCAGGGAAGTTGATGTTTCAGATCAGGACCCTCCTGCTCCTCTGATGCTACCTGGTCTGCTGTGTTCCTCCAGCTCCACACTGTGTCATCTCTGACTCCAGAATCTGCAGTTGTTACTATCTTTAATAGAAAGATAAAGATTTCTCATGTCTTGATTTAGCATGTAAGCCACCATCAATGTAGAAAGATTCAGTCACAATGTAGGAGTATGAAATTTGTCACTTTTTTTTAGCAATATTGGTTTAAAAATTGCTGTTGAAAGAAGTATTTAAGTTCAAATCTACAGGAATTTCAGATAAAGCTGTGCAAATGTTGATAATGTGCAACTTTACCATTATCTGCACAAAAACAGGCTCTCCCTGTCTGGCTTTCCATACAAATGATTAAGCGGTGTGATTTTTTTTTTCACAAACATTCTTGTAGGTCATTTATGAATAAGGTATATTACAAAACAGTTAAAGTAAGTCATTTCAGAAAATGCAACAAAATAAATCACAAATGATGTGAAATTCTGTACTTGAACAATAAATACGGCATAAATTCACCAATGAAATTGTTGTTTGAAGTTTACATAATCCTTTTAACGCTGTAGAAGTGTTAATTATTATCAGATAACCCCGCGCACTGGAAATGTTTTTATTACAAAAGTGAAATCAAATCTTCTGGTGCTAATTGCTTTCTAATTTGTCTTTTTTTTTTCTTTTTCAGTCTTTTACTTCTGACTTAATCACATTTTATACCCCATCCATTAATTTTTCTTTAATGTACCTGATTTGGCATTCATTTCATCCATTTCCTTGTTCATACTCGATGCAGTCAATTTCATGATCCTTCAATCTGATTGGTTAAATAGGCACACCTACAGGGGTGTTTCTATCTCTCGCTTTCAGTGTCTTGTCATGCGGAACGACGTTGACTAGTTATATGAATTCTAGGCTGTGAATGATTGCTGGTTCAAACTTACCTGTATACAGTGAAGGCACAAAGTTTGATAATATTGCTGAGATTCTTTTCAGTATTAGGTTTGCACTTCATTCATGTTCCATGTTTGCTTTGTTCACAGATGGGAATACATGCATAATCCAGCCAAGGGCACAAGAGAGGCAGAAATTATGGAGATATTGAGAAATCCCAAAGACTGGGTCCATTAATTCAGATAAACAAGACTGCCCCATGTTTAACCTAAAAGCAGAAGATTATTCATTTTCGTTTGTAAAATATTATAAAATGAAGTTATGTGCAACATTGAGCTTAACACAGTGACTATATAATCTTTTTTTTGTTGTATCAAGATAAAGTGTTCGAACTGTTTCCAGCAAAATTGGATCACTTTTAAACAGCGTATACAATTGAGCTCCGTATAAGTTAGTATTATCTTTTGGTTAACTACCTTTCAACTGCCATTGGAGTTGTACAAAACTCATTTTTAATGACACAGTAAGCAAAGAATGAGCAATAGATTTTGAGCTGTTTTCATTGAAAGGGTAAGGAAAGTCATAGCATAGCCCGTCATTAACAATCATTGATCGTGGTGTACATTCTGCCTTAACGCAGACTTTAGTCACAATCAAGTATGCCACCCGAATAGAAATCTTTTATATATTGTACGTTTTGTGTCATTTTTTTTTTAAAAGCATGTGAATTACCTTTTCATAACAATAACATGAAGGTCAGTTTTTGACTAAAATGCTAATGTGTTTTTCAAAGAATGTTTCCTTTACATTTAGATGTGATATCCTTTTTTCCCAGCAACATTAGAGCTACAGTTTGTATTTATAAAAAATTAGCAATTGTAAAGGAGAAAGTGAAAGATATTTATTTTCAGTATGTGATAAATGGAGATTTGAAGTTTTCATATTCTGGAATCAGTGAAATAAAATCACAGTAGAACTTGAAAGTGCCATTATTTCAGAAACATCGTCGTGTGCATTTTTTTTCACTTTGGATTTATTGATATATTGACTGTTATGTTACTGAAATATTAATTATTTCACTGTTCCTAATAACTTTTGCTACTTGGATATCAAGCTGTGTTACTCACTGAATGTAATAAACTTTGTCATTCTGGTTTCTTCCTTTTTTGTGTCTTGTGATTTCATCAGTCTTGTGAAATTTTGTTTTGCAAATAACGTGCTATTATACTCGATCAGATTCATGGCTTAAATTGAAAAAGCTCAGCAGGTCGGGCAGCATCTGTGGAGAGAAATCAGAGTTAATGTTTCCGGTCAAGTGACCCTTCCTCAGAACAGAAAGGGTCACTCGACCTGAAATGTTAACTCTGATTTCTCTCCACAGATGCTGTCAGACCTGCTGAGCTTTTCCAGCAATTTCTGGTTTTTGTTTCTGATTTACAGCATTCACAGTTCTTTCGGTTTTTATTGAGGCTTAAATTATTAGCCTAAGATCATTACTTGTGCAGGTTTGTTCTGCTTTCATATGTTTTGGTTATATATTATTTTGTTTTCTGATCTTCTTGCCCTGAATATTATGGAAGACTAATATTTTGTCCATCTGAAGTGGTCAATAAAACATCACTGTGAATTAAATAATTCTTGTGTAATACTGCCATCTCTCATGTTGAGGAAAAATATGTCTGAAAGAATCAAAATCAGAATTACATTTTATCCATTACTACAAATTGCATTAAAAGGCAAGTTTATTCTTAGAATTATCCTGAAGTGCTAAACATATATTTGCACATTTGTTTTACCTATTGCTCCTTGTAGCCATATTTGTTTTGTGCCCTTGTTTAATGAAGGAAACAATTGTTAGGAATAGTGTTTTTTTTATTCATTCACGGGATGAGGGCATTGCTGGCTAGGCAGCATTTATTGCCCATCCCTAAGTGCCCTGAGGGCAGGTAAGAGTCAACCATGTTGCTGTTTGGTAAGGATGGCAGTTTCCTTCCCTAAAGGACATTAGTGAACCAGAAGGGTTTTTCAGACAATCGACAATGGATTTGTTAATTCCAGGTATTTATTGAATTAAAATTCCACCATCTGCCACGGTGGGATTTGAACCCAGATCCCCAGAATATTATCTGGGTCTCTGGATTAACAGTCCAGCGATAATACCACTAGGCCATCACTTTCCCCTGAGATGTATGATTTGAAGTTTACTTTATATGTTGTGTGTCAAGGAGATGGAGGCATGGTTTAGGTTTCAGTTTAGAGTTGTTCTTGTGACTTGGTACAGGGAAGTCTGGAGACTCCTTTGTGTATAGGCACTTTTAATGGGGTTTTACAAACTTGAATTAAAGATATGAACGTTAATAGTTTAGTGCATTTCAAAAAAGTTACAGAAAAAAATCCTCTGCTGCTTAATTAGAGGGATTTAGGGGCATACGCTAACAGACTCCATTCTGGGTTTTTGGTTTATGTTTGTTCCAAAACGTGGAACGTGGAGGCAGGAATTTTCTGGTTTTAAACAAAAATCCTGCAAGAATGCTGGAAACCGAGTTTAGGAAACTCGTGTTCCCACTACCATTAAAGAAATGGCGAATTTAGTTTGCAGTTTCATTTAGGTGTCTTCAGAAGGAAAAACAGCTGAAAAAATTAGTGAATGCACAGAAATTCATCCAAAAGGAAACTGGTTGCAACATATTGCCATTCTTGGACTTGGAGTACTAATTGTTGACTCTGTTGTTTAAAACTGTCCACTTTGCCTTTCACCAGTCTGAGCAAGAACACTTGGTATAGAGATATGGGTAAATCTTCACTAGGGTCTGATGTTTGTAAGGATATTGCTGGAATGAAAGGAACAATGCGAGTCTGAATCCTTTTCTGACATTAATAATGAAATTTTCCATCCTTTTATGTCTAATGGAATGCAGTTAATGTTTTAAAAATCGAAAGAACTGCAGATGCCGTAAATCAGAAGCAAAAACAAAGTTGCTGGAAAAGCTCAGCAGGTCTGGCGGCAACTGTGAAGGAGAAAACAGAGTTAACGTTTCAGGTCTGGTGTTCTGAGGAAGGGTCACCGGACCCAAAACTTTAACTCTGTTTTCTCCTTCACAGTTAATGTTTTTCTTGTTTAGTAAATGTTTTATTCTTTTTGTGTCATAAATACACTGGCAGATTCATGAATACTTTCAGTAATTGACCTCCACAACTTTTTGAAAAAAAGGCCTTCAGGTCTATCAAGGTGAGTTTCACTCTAGGATCTGTCTTGTCAGTATTACATCAGCTGCGATCATAACAATTATTATGCTTCAAAAGAGCTTTATTGACAATAAAAGCACTTTGGGGCATATTAAGATTATGAAAAGCGTAATCAACATTTTTCATTGCAACAATGCCATTAATGAGAATTTCAGGAGATTGCATAAAGGCTATTGTTTTTTCAGAGTGTTCGACACAATCAGTTTATCCTTCCTACTCAATGTGAACAGTGCAGAGAGAAGTTAAAACAGCTGTTGCATTTTTTGCCCTGTTCCTGGTTTTAACTCTTGCCCATTTGGAAGGCAGTTTAGGTTCCTGCCACGTTCCAATTATTAAACATTATTCAGCATTCTGTGATGCACTGTAGGACCGTAGTGGTATCTAAACTGACATTCTGACCCTTGCACCCATGCTTGCCTGTCAAATGAATAGCTATTTCGTTTTTGTGGGTGAGGGTGGAAGAAAGAGATGGGCAAGTGTAGCAGTGAGTACTGCAAAAATAACTTAAAACAAATTTTCCAAGTGGGTTTGAGGACCAGAATTGTCCCAACACCACCTCTCCCACCCCCACCCAACGTGACCTTGCTGCTGACCACGTATCTCGTGCTAAAAGGTGCTCAAGGTCATCTCATTGTACTGTCAACCAGCACCTGATTTCTGAACGTCTATATTCAACTGAGGCCCATTAATAAAATCTGCCAGGCTTCTGACTCCCTCTTCAGCAGGGCTTCTGTTTACTTCCAACAGCTCCCTTTTCTGTCCAACCACTGCACAACCCCATTTCCTCAGCTGAGTTAAAATATGGCGTTATGAATAGACTTTCAATTTTTAAAACCCAAAATATGGTTATGAGAAGTACCATTTTTTGTGTCATAAAGTATAACTTTTTTTTAAAAAATGGATTTTAAAAATCCAATCCTGAATTGGGAGCGTCATTGAAATGGCCAGTATTTATTGCTCTTGAGCAGTTGCCTTCTTGAACAGCTGCAGTCCTTGTGGTTTAGATATACCATTATACTACTGGGGAGGGATTTCCAGGATTTTCATCCAGGGAGGATGAAGGAATTACAAAATAGTTCCAAGTCAGGAAGTTTACATGACTTTAAGTGGAATTTGTAGGTGGTGGTGTTCCTGTGTACTTGGAACATAAGAACTAGAAGCAAGAATAGGCAATTCAGCTCCTTGAGTACGCTCTCCCATTTAGTATGATCATGGCTGATCTCAATTCCACTTTCCTGCTCACTCTCTTCAACACATTACTAACTAAAAATTTATCTCCTCCTTAAATTTACTCAGTGTCCTGGCATCATGAATTCCACAGATTCATGACCCTTTGAGAAGTAATTCCTCCTAATCTCTGTTTTAAACCTGCCATCTCTTATTCCTAAAACTATGCCCTGCCATTCTTAATTGCTCCGCAATGGCAAACATTGGCTCTGCATCTGCATTGTCAATCCCCTTTAACAGCTTAAATATCTCAGTTAGGTCTCTTTTTTTTTTCTAAAACTCCAGAAACATTATAGGCCTAAACTACTCATCTCTCTTCCTGAGACAAGCCCCTCATCTCTGGAATCAATCTTGTGAACCTCATCTGAACTTCCTCCAATGCAACTACATTCTTCCTCCAGTCAGGGGACCAAAACGATATGCAATACTCTACTACTCTATTACTTTAGCAATAAATGCCAAATATCCATTTGCCTTCCTTATTACCTGCTGTACCTGCATACTAGTTTTCTGCAATTCATGCACAGGGTCACCTCTGTATCGAACCACTCTCAAGTTTCTCTCCACTTAGCTAATAAGCTGTCTTTCTAGTCTTCTGACCAAAATGGATAACTTCACAGTTATCCGTGTTAAACTTCACTCTGCCAAATTTTGACCCATTCCCCTTTAGCTAATCGTATCTACCTGTAATTTTCTTATTTCATTGCAACTTACTTTCCCAGCTGTTTTAGTGTCATCTGTAAATTTGGCTGCCTTTGTACTTGCTGCCCTTGTTCTTCTGGGTGCTGAAGTTATAGGTTCAGAAGGTGTTGGAGGAACCTCGGAGAGTTGCTGCAGTTCATTTTCTGGATGGTGCATGCTGCTGCCATTGTGTGTCAGTTATGGATGGTGTGCCAATCAGGCAGGCTGCCTTTGTCTTCAACAGGAAGCTTCTTGAGGGTTGTTGGTACTGCATTCATCCAAGCAGAATATTCCATTATTTCAGTGCACTCCTCATTTGTGCCTGTAGGTGGTGGACAAGCTTTGTGGAGTTGTGAAGTGAATTACTTGCCTTAAAAGTCTCAACTTTGTACCTCCTCTCGATCTATTACATAAATACTGAGGCTAGTCCAGTTAAATTTTTGATTTATGATAACCCCCAGAATGTTGGTAGGAAGGGATTCAGTGATATTAATGCTGTTGAATGATTGTTCGTTTGTTTGTTAGTTATTCATTCATGGGATGTCGGTTTTGCAGGCTGTGCCTGCATTTATTGTCCATCCCTAATTGTCCTTGACAACTTGGTGGTGAGGTACCTTCTTGAACTGCTGCAGATGTGGGTAGACTCATAATACTGTTAGAAAAGTTGGATCTGCACTTGTTGGAAATATTGCCTTTATCAGCCTAAGTCTGAACACAGTCCAGATCTTACTGCATGCAGACATTGACTGGTTCAGAGTCTGTGAGGTTGTTAGTGATGTTAAGAGCAGTGCAGTGCAGTCATTTGCAATCATCGCAACTTCTGACCTTGTGTTGGAGGGAAGATCATTAATTAAATAGCTGAAGATTGTTGGGTCTAGGACATTATCCAAAAGAGGTCCTGGAAAGTCTCAAGATATTTTGGTCTATAATGTCTTGTCATGATTACATTAATGAAATACATTATAATTTACACACTTGGAGACAGTGTGTTTAGGTTGCCTTGC